TCTGCCATCTAAAAATCACATGTGCTCGTGGTCAGGGTATGTGTTTATTATTTTTAATATCAAAACCTGAGCTTATTTTTCTATTGTTTTTTTTTTCATATAATAATCTATTGAGCTTCTTGCTGAATTTCTTAGGATTCCAACCTGGGATATCTTAATTCTTCTTATCACCATTATAGATTAGATCAAGATCATCAGAACTATACAGGTTCCATATTTGTTGTGTGAATAGTTTCTGTTACCCATTGTACTTAATTCTTCCATATTTTCTTTTCAAATATTTCCTTCTATTTTAAATTTGTTGTCGTGTTCTTCGAAATGAATATCACAGATAATTTCATAATTCATCAATTATTTTTTCTTCAAAACTTGGTACTTTCAAAAAAATACTTCATTTCAATTGCGCAATATAAAAAAGTAACCAAATATTTCGATGTGTGAAATTTTATAATATGTATTTAGAGAAAAAAATATGATTAATAGATTGAAATTGTATCTTTTCACGTTTTCTTTTTAAATATTTCCATGTATTTTAGATTTGTTGTTGTGAAGAATCTGATCTTCTAAATAAGTGAATTTCAACAAAATATCACAGATAATCTCATAATTTATCAATGATTTTTCTTCTTCAAAACTTGGTACTTTGAATAAAGATTTCTTTTGTACTAAATAATTTTTTGAACTAATAATTTGATTAGACAAATTTTAAATTATATTTTGAGGAAAAGAGATATAAATATGATTAACTTTAATAGTTAAAATTGTATCTTTTCTTTACTAAAAATTGCCATTGTTGTTATACCAAACCTTTGAAATTTTCAAATAAAATAAAATCATGGGTAAAAATGGTCTTAAATATCTCCATATTATTCTTTTTACATGTATATTAAGAATTTGCCTATTTCAGGAACGTCATTTTATTCTAGGATGTCTACAATAGTGGTCAGTTTTAAATATTTCAATCAAATCTAGTTCTTAAGATATTTTGTCCCGGACGTGCCTTTTTTTTTTTGGGGGGGGGGGCTCAAAAATCATAAACTTTGGTAAATAGCCGTGAAACCATATTTCTCTTAAGATCTTTGGTATTTAAAAATATTTTAAATATGAAATTATCTGATTAATTTACATGGAATCATATAAAGTCTATGAAGGAAATGATTTTCCATAAGATTTTGTCAAGGCAAATACACCTATCCCCCGATTTACACGGTACTTGTTTTACACGTTTTCGCTTTTACACGGTTTTCCAAATAAGTTTCTTTTTTATTGCCATTTTTATAGCGGGAAAAAATGCGGGAAATTTTGGAGGAAAATGATGGCAATTTACCAAATAGGTTCAATTAAAATAAAAAAAATTAAAACATTTTAATTTGAATAAAAAATATAATATAAAAAAAAAATTTCAATCTTCCCTCCAAAATTTCCCGCATTTTTTCCCTCTGAATTTTACTTTAATCACAGCCAAATTAACATAAATAAAAAAATATAGGCTTATAATGAAGAAAGAAGTTAAAAGAAAGGTTATTTCTTTAGAAACTAAAATCGAAATTTTGGATCGCTTACGAAAGGGAGATAGAGTAGTAGATGTTGCAAAATCATATAGCATGAATGAAGCTACAATAAGAACTATTAGAACAAATGAAAACACAATTAGAAAGAGTGTTGCAGCTGGCAATACAACGAGTATGGGCACAACATCATACACCAGAAATATCGCAATTGAAAAAATGGAGCAAGCGTTAATGCTTTGGATAGAAGATCAAACACAAAAAAGAGTACCCATTGATACGGCCGTGCCTGGTCACGTGTGTGTGTTTGATTGTATATAGGGTGTGTTTGGAAATAAAATGCGTGTTAAGTTGAGCTTTGTGAGACTGGTGTTTTCACAGTAGTTAGAGCTCGGAAAGCCCGCTTCATTTAGGACAAGACCTCGGCGCTTACTATACCTCTAGGCGGAGGAGTAAAAGGAAGGAAACCAGCCAGAAGAAGATCGGCTAACATTTTGGTCCCTCGAGCTGGATCTATTGAGCTTCTTGCTGAATTTCTTAGGATTCCAACCTGGGATATCTTAATTCTTCTTATCACCATTATAGATTAGATCAAGATCATCAGAACTATACAGGTTCCATATTTGTTGTGTGAATAGTTTCTGTTACCCATTGTACTTAATTCTTCCATATTTTCTTTTCAAATATTTCCTTCTATTTTAAATTTGTTGTCGTGTTCTTCGAAATGAATATCACAGATAATTTCATAATTCATCAATTATTTTTTCTTCAAAACTTGGTACTTTCAAAAAAATACTTCATTTCAATTGCGCAATATAAAAAAGTAACCAAATATTTCGATGTGTAAAATTTTATAATATGTATTTAGAGAAAAAAATATGATTAATAGATTGAAATTGTATCTTTTCACGTTTTCTTTTTAAATATTTTCATGTATTTTAGATTTGTTGTTGTGAAGAATCTGATCTTCCAAATAAGTGAATTTCAACAAAATATCACAGATAATCTCATAATTTATCAATGATATTTCTTCTTCAAAACTTGGTACTTTGAATAAAGATTTCTTTTGTACTAAATAATTTTTTGAACTAATAATTCGATTAGACAAATTTTAAATTATATTTAGAGGAAAAGAGATATAAATATAATTAACTTTAATAGTTAAAATTGTATCTTTTCTTTACTAAAAATTGCCATTGTTGTTATACCAAACCTTTGAAATTTTCAAATAAAATAAAATCATGGGTAAAAATGGTCTTAAATATCTTCATATTACTCTTTTTACATGTATATTAAGAATTTGCCTATTTCAGGAACGTCATTTTCTTCTAGGATGTCTACAATAGTGGTCAGTTTTAAATATTTCAATCAAATCTAGTTCTTAAGATATTTTGTCCCGGACGTGCCTTTTTTTTTGGGGGGGGGGGGGGGGCTCAAAAATCATAAACTTTGGTAAATAGCCGTAAAACCATATTTCTCTTAAGATCTTTGGTATTTTAAAATATTTTAAATATGAAATTATCTGATTAATTTACATGGAATCATATAAAGTCTATGATGGAAATGATTTTCCATAAGATTTTGTCAAGGCAAATACACCTATCCCCCGATTTACACGGTACTTGTTTTACACGTTTTCGCTTTCACACGGTTTTCCAAATAAGTTTCTTTTTTATTGCCATTTTTATAGCGGGAAAAAATGCGGGAAATTTTGGAGGAAAATGATGGCAATTTACCAAATAGGTTTAATTAAAATAAGAAAATTTAAAACATTTTAATTTGAATAAAAAATATAATATAAAAAAAAAATTGTAATCTTCCCTCCAAAATTTCCCGCATTTTTTCCCTCTGAATTTTACTTTAATCACAGCCAAATTAACATAAATAAAAAAATATAGGCTTATAATGAAGAAAGAAGTTAAAAGAAAGGTTATTTCTTTAGAAACTAAAATCGAAATTTTGGATCGCTTACGAAAGGGAGATAGAGTAGTAGATGTTGCAAAATCATATAGCATGAATGAAGCTACAATAAGAACTATTAGAACAAATGAAAACACAATTAGAAAGAGTGTTGCAGCTGGCAATACAACGAGTATGGGCACAACATCATACACCAGAAATATCGCAATTGAAAAAATGGAGCAAGCGTTAATGCTTTGGATAGAAGATCAAACACAAAAAAGAGTACCCATTGATACGGCCGCTATAACAAATAAAGCATTACGAATTTACGAAAAGATTGTAGAGCAATTGCTATCTTCTTCTTCAACTGAAAAGAAGCCAAATATTTTGGCAAGTCATGGCTGGTTTGAAATATTTAAAATAAGACATTCTTTACACAGCTTAAAATTAAAAGGTGAACTGGCTTCTGGCGACGTAGATGCAGCCCAAGAATATCCAGCAAAATTTGCAGAAATTATTAACGACAATTCATGCACCCCTGATCAGGTTTTCAATGCTGGTGAGTCAGGGTTATTCTGGGAAAAAATGCCTGAAAGGACTTATGTCTCAAAATTTTATATATCGGCTAGTGGTCATAAAGCAGCAAAAGATCGCATAACAATTATTTTCTGTAGCAATGCTTCAGGAGATTATATTATGAAACCATTAGTGATTAACAAATTAAAAATGCCCCGTGCCTTTAAAGGAGTAAACATCAATAATCTTCCCGTTTATTGGAGGGCTAATAAGAAAGCGTGGGTTACTGCTGCAATGTTTACTGAATGGTTTCATGAATGTTTTATCCCAGATGCCAAAAAATATTTAAGTTCAAAGGGATTGCCTTTTAAAGTGCTTTTGTTAATTGACAATGCGCCGGGTCACCCACAAGATCTAGAATATGAGAACGTTAAAGTAAAAATTTTTCCAAAAAATACAACTTCATTAATACAACCATTGGACCAAGGCATAATTTCTACTTTTAAAGCTTTGTGCATAAAACGAGCCTTTACATATATTTTGGAACAAATGGAGAACAATGAATCTTTAACAGTTATTAGTGCTTGGAAAGTTTTTACAATGTTAGACTGTGTGAAGCATATCGCCTTATCATACACTGCGATTAAGCAAACAACGCTCAATAGCTGTTGGAAAAAAATTAGGCCAAATGTAGTCAAAAATGAAAATTCCATTTCAACGTTAAATGAATATTCGCAGATAGTACAGATGGCGTATTCATTGGGCGGAGAAGGTTTTGATGATTTTACTGATGTTGATATCGCAGAGTTAATGGTTGATAAAGACCTAAGTGAAGATGATTCAGTTAACTTAGTTTGCGTAAGTGAGTCTGACAAATCTGATGAAGAGGAATTCGTTTCAGTAACATTCACTGCTAAAGTCATCCGCGAAGGACTCGCATTGGGAAGAAAGCTGGATGATCATTTTGCATAAGAGCCCCGTATGGTTACTTGCACTCGCTGGTGGGGCTGGACTTTTGCAAGAATCGGGGGCCATTGGCGATTTTTATTTTTTATTTTAAAAACAGAAAAAAAGTGTTCAATGCGGGAATCGAACCCGGGTCGTAGTGGTCGAAAACCAAACGGTTTAACCAGCCTTCCAACTAACCCCATGTATGTATTGTAATTATATAAAAATAGCAATATACAAGGTGGGATCAATAAATGAGGTGAATTATAATTTATAAAAAAAACAATATTAAAAATTAGGACTTGATTTATTCAAAATAATCACCTTGGCTTTCTATACATCGTCTCCATCGTTCTGGCAACTTGTAAATACCCTCTTTATAGGCACTCTTAGGAAGCGTGTGAAAAAAATCTTGCACCACTTTCTGGACATCTTCATCCAAGTCAAATCGCTTTCCCTTTAACTCCTTCTTTAGTAGTCCAAAAAGGAAATAGTCAGAGAGGGCTAGGTCTGGACTATATGCAGGATGTGTGTGTGTGTTCTAAAACTTCAAAACCTAATTTAATGATTGTAGATACAGTTTTACATGATGTATGCGGCCTTGCATTATCATGAAGGAAGAGAACACCTTTACTAAGCTTCCCTCTTCTTTTGTTTCTTATACCGGGCTTTAGCTTATTTACAAGAATGTCACAATAAAGGTCGCTGTTCATACGTTGCCTTGAGGATAAAAAATCAAGACAGATTGGTCCATCAACAACCCAAAAAATTGTTAACAAAACTTTACCGGCCGAACGTTGAGACCTGATTTTTTTTTGGTCTTGGAGAGTCGCCTCGTTTCCATTCCATAGATGCACGTTTTGTCTAAGAATCATAATGATAACACCAACTGTTAGAGTTTATTTTGATTGTTACTCGGTGTAAATGTTTTATTATATTTGACCAGGAGTGCCTGGTCACGTGTGTGTGTTTGATTGTATATAGAGTGTGTTTGGAAATAAAATGCGTGTTAAGTTGAGCTTTGTGAGACTGGTGTTTTCACAGTAGTTAGTGCTCGGAAAGCCCGCTTCATTTAGGACAAGACCTCGGCGCTTACTATACCTCTAGGCGGAGGAGTAAAAGGAAGGAAACCAGCCAGAAGAAGATCGGCTAACATTTTGGTCCCTCGAGCCGGATCTAGGCTAAGGTTAAAGTTATAGAGGTTAAAGAAGTTGAAGAAGCCTAAAGAGGTTAAAGAAGTTGAAGAAGCCTAAAGAGGTTAAAGAAGTTGAAGAAGCCTAAAGAGGTTAAGAAGTTGAAGAATCCTAAAGAGGTTAAAGGAATTGAAGAAGATAAAGATAAAGAAGGCTTATGCAAATTTAAGCAAGATTCGAAAAAGAAGAATTTATGCAAATAAGGTTTTAGGAAAGTTTTGCAAATTGGATTAAAAAGATAAAACGTAGGTATAGTGCGTTAAGTTACGTCAGGTTAAGAACAAAAGCAAGTCTAGAATGAAGCGGGCATTAAGAAGTAGAGCCGTTCAAAGAACGATTATTTCCAAGTTGATCAAAAGGGCAGAAGCGGAGTTGGATGAAGAAACTCCTTCTGAAATTATGGTAGGAACGAATTATACACTCATCGAAAAGAATATAGCAGATCTTCGGGAAGAAGATGAGTTGATCTGGAAGTTGATGCTAGAAGATAAGGAGAATGATGGCAGGGTGCTAGAGGAGGAGAAGGATACAGTGATCCATTTTATTATGAGAAGTGGATAGATCTTGAAATTAAGACAAATCACTTCCTCAGCTCTCTGATGAAGGATACGGAAGCCCTCCATGGTGCTAGTTTGAAAAAGGGCTCGCTGCCTGGAACGGAAGTTTGCCGACTGCCCAACTTGGATTTGATAATCTGCGATGGAAGCAGTTTGGAATTCAGGATGAGTGAGAAGCCAAGGGTTGTAGGAATTACCTTGATGAAGGGAGTTGATCCAGCTTCTATTAAGGAAGATGCTGGGATTATGGTATCATCCGAGCAAATGGTAGAAGAGACATCCAAGCAGATTGTCGTTGAAGAAAGTAAAAAGGCTCAAGTAGTAAAAGGGCATTTTGCTGAAGAAAGTAAAAATTCTCAAGTCGAGAAAAAATCTGTTGTGGAAGTTGACGAAAGTCATAGGGCTGAAGTTAAGAAAGAATTCGTTGAAGCAGATGAAGAGAAAGGGCTGGATGTGGAACAAGGAATGGATTCAAAGAACACTGAAGAAGTGAAGCTGCTATATGCAGAACAAGGTACTGATTCAAAGATGGCAGAAAAGCTAGATGCAGAAAAAGGCACTGATTCAGAGGTGGCAGAAAAGCTAGATGCAGAACAAGGTACCGATTCAAAGGTGGCGGAAAGGCAAGACGAAGATTTAGAGAATGGGAAAGACTCAGAAGCTGAAACCAAGGACAGTGAAGTAGGGGATTCTAAGGCTGCAATTGAGGCTTATGAATCGGTGAGCAATTCTAAAGCGGTAGCTGAGGGCGCTAATCAAGTGGAGATTTCAGATGGTGAAACTGAGTCCATTGATGATATTGAGGAAAGAGTTGTCAGAGTTCCAGCATCGAGGAAATTGGTGGAAGCGGGACAGACTGGAGATGTGGAATTTAAAGTAAAAGGATACTATTTGCCCGATCCCCCTGTATTTGAGTGTGGGTCCAAAACGACGCCTATACGGCCAGTATTTGACGACGCTTCCTGTCGAGGACGCAACGGACTCTCGTTGAAACGATATTTAAGGAGGAGACCCAGTCTATTGAGAGGAATCCCTGAGATAAGGATAAAACTTCGGGAAAATAAATTTGGAGTTTTGGCCGACATGGGAAGATATTTCCGGATGATCACCATTAAGGAAAATGATTGGGACTACCTTAGATTTATTTGGAAGAAGAAGATGGACAACTGATGATATCTGGGCGGGAAATCGTTGTAGACGATTTTAATTAAGTGCCCCGTACCTCAAAATCCTGAAGAAAAGGAAAGTATTGAATGATGATGCAAAGGTTGGAGAAAGTAAAACGCTTTCTAAACAGGGTTGTACCATCCAGATCACCTATGTGAAGAGAGAACCAATAGAAAAGGGTTCAATTGGCAAATATCTTCCAAACAATAAAATGCAACTTGTATCGAAGGAAACTGTTTCTGGAGCTGTAGTAACTCCAATATTATATACTCCGGCCAGTTCTCCAAAGGGGCAAGTGCCTACTCCAGCGGAAAATCTTAATTTAGGAGACAAGTCTCCAGAAAAGTCTGGTAAAAGTGCTAAACTGGAAAGGATTGCGAATCCGGTAGATTATAGGAATATTATGTTGAGTGGTTTGAGATCTCTAAAGAAGATTTCGGAATCCTATGACTGCTCTAAGCCTGCAGACGATACCTCTGGGCCTTCAGACGATGCCTCTAGGCCTGCAGACGATGCCTTAGCATCAGATCCTGATACTTCAGGGGGTAAAGCTCAAGGTTCTCAAGAGGTTCCAGAAATTGCAGTGGAGGATTCTGACGAAAGGTCTGCAATTGAAGATTCTCAACCTTCAGGGCCTCTTGATTTGGAGGGTTCTGGAGTGGGGGCTTCAAGCGATGTAGAGGTAAGAGCTCAAACAAAGAGCCCTAGAGCCATATCTTCCGAAATACTTTGCATGAAGAAAGAGGAATCCAGCATAGACTTGGAAGAGGAAGACACTGGAAGAAACGAACCCTCTCCGGGCTCAATCACCTTCAAAGCCCTAGAAACCACAGATTCTAAAGAAATTGATCTGACGATTTTGGGCAACATTGCGAGAGAACATTGCGCACAAAAGATTGCATTTGAACAGTCCAATGTTATAGGGACATTGGGTTTGGGATGGACCCAAGGTGAAGACTGTTTCTTGTGTGAAGTTCAGTCGTTGGAAAAGACATCGGCGACTACCACGAGCGAAATGCTTTCCTTCATCGCCAAGTTAGAAGATCCCTTAAGATGGTTGGCACCTGTCCTTGTAACAGGAAAAATAATGGTTCAAAGGTTGTAGTTAACGGAATTACATTGGGATGATCCGATGGATGAATCATTGATTGAGACATGGACTACTTTAAGAAAGGAATTGAATTTCATAGGAAGATTGAGAATACCCCGATGGTTGGGTCTCGGAAGGAATACCCAGGGAGTAAAATTGCATGGATTCGGTAATGACTCTGAAGACGCCTATGCGGCAGCTGTTTACATAAGAATTCCCACTGATGATGGAGTCAGTGTAGGACTGTTGGCATCAGGGACTGAGTTGGCTCTCATGCGGAAGATGTCAGTTCCACGCTTGGAGTTGTGCGCGGCTCTTCTCCTAACCAGACTAATGAAATATATACTGGAAGAGTTAAATATCAAAATGGAGAGTGCTACCTGTTGGTCCGATTCTACCATAGTCTAGAGTTGGTTAAGAACTATGTCTGGAAATCTCCCCACTTTCATCGGCAATCGTGTCGCGTAGATTCAGAGTTGTCCACAGGTCAGGGAGTGGAGCTATGTTCCCACAGGAGGTAGTCCAGCGGATATTGCCAAGCGGGGAATTCTGGGGTCCGAGCTGAAACGGTCTTCCATCTGGTGGACAGGACCTACCTGGTTATCAGCGGAATCAACAGAATGGCCTAGAATGCCTCCTGTGTTTGAGAACCAAAGTCAAACTGAGTTCCTGAGTGTTCATGCCCTCAGTGAAACACCTTTCTTGGTGGCCATCGGAGAGATGAGCTCGACCTATGATGGATATATCCGAAAAGTGGCTTGGATATTGCGTTGTTGCCATAACTGCCGCTACAGTGCGGAGCGATATCAGTCGCACTTAACCCCAGCCGAACTGAGAAATGCTCATAGGAGAATACTTCAAGCAATTCAGTGCCAGCATTTCAGGGAATAAATAAGAAGTTCGACCACTTTAGGATCAGTAAAGCGCACGAGCAAGATTTATGGTTTAGCACCGTTCCTCGACGATCAAGGAATCATTGGAGTCGGCGGTAGATTAAAATGGGCTCCATCTATGACATATGAACGAAAACATCCTGCGCTATTGCCTTCATCAGGAAAGGTGGCTCAGATGATTGTTCAAGTGGTTCATATGCGGACTTTGCACGGAAGTGTGCACCTGATGCTGTCCACATTGAGGCAGAAGTATTGGATGCTGAGAGCAAAAGATCAGGTGAAGAGATGCATTCGAGAGTG